CTGGATAACCTGCAAGTTAGGTCTGATAAGTGGCAAATTTCACGCCAGGTAATGACCAACTCCAACAAGAGAAAATCTCACAATTATTTCTTGTAATTCAATGGCAGTACCGTTACTGAATTCACCACCACCAACATCTTGGGGTTTGTCGTTGACCAGAAACTGAACTGGACCAACCATATAAACACCTTGGTAGCAAGCTGGTCAGTGGCTATCAGTTCTGCATTGAATAACTTGCTGCTTGTTTCCTCAGTACTGATCACTATCTAGAATGCACAAGTCAAAAGCGTGATAGAATACTCTCCCCTTGCCTGGAAGTGTACATCTGCAACAACACGCATAAGTTTAACTCTGACTGTCCAGTCAGTCTAACTTGGTGATGGAGAAACTATTGGAAGCAGTTGTTATGGACCAGACCAGATCCCTTCAAAATATTTTAAGATAGCGTAGACCTAAAATTTCTTATTTTGAAGGCAAATGTAAAGTGCTGTGTTCCAGATGCAATTTGACTGACTGGTCAAATTACTTGACATTAAGCAAAACACAATTTATTCAAACACTATAGTTAAAATGCAACAAAAGAAGAACTTAAGTCTATTGGAAAACTTAACAGAATAATCAATACAGTAACTATTGTTAATTAACTTCCAATATAGTAACATCCCATACATGCACCCTTTTGTGATAAGGTAAATTCACAAAACAGACTTTGTCTCACATGCAGTCCAGCAGTCTAGAAAGGGAACCTCCAGCTTTTGGCTGTAATCAAGAGAGGGGGAAAAATAGCTTACACTTCAGCAAGCCCAAAACGGCAATTGATGAAACCTAACTAAAACTTCTTGATCTGTGCGAACTTGATCACCCCACTCAGGCTGCTTCTGTTGCTCCAACTTTATTTTTTAAAAAAATAAGTTTTTTATCTTTTCATAGGCTGCTCGCTTCCTGTCCCCTCCCAATCTCTCTCTCTCAAAGAAACCAGGATAAAACACACCTGTTAAAGCCATAGTATCATCCCTCAATTCTGAGGGACAGAATTGATCTGCATTTGGAGAGGCAGGGAAGTAATTAAAAAGAGTCAGCATAGCTTTGTTAAAGGAAAGTCATGTCTGACCAATTTGATTGTATTTCTTCGAGGTAAACTGGTTTGTAGATGAGGGCAGTGCTTTTGCTATAGCCTACTTGGACTTCAGGAAGGGTTTTGATAAGGTCCTGTGTGGAAGACTGGTCACAAGTTCAGAGCACATGAGATCCAAGGAAATTTGGCAATTTGGATCCGTAATTCGCTGACTAGCAGGAAGCAAAGGTGATGGTTGAGTGGTGTTTGTCCAACTGGAAGTCTGTGCCCAGTGGGTTCCTACAGGGTTCATTGTTGAGGCCCTTGCTGTTTGTGTAGTTTCTACAGATTATTTAGACTTGAATGTAGGAGAGTTGATCAGTGAGTTCACAGACGATGCACAAATTGGTAGCGTGTAAATACAGAGAAGGATATAGACAGGCTGGTCATATGGGCTGATCAGTGGCAAATGGAATTCAATCCAGATGAATGTGAGGTGAAGCACTTGGGCAGGACAGAAAAGATCAGGGAGTACACGATGTGCTGTAGGACCCTGGGAAGCACCAAGGATCTTTAATGTGTATGTCCACCTGTTCCTTAAGGTATCAGGGGAAGAGAATAAAGTGGTTAAGAAGGCATATGATATACTTGCACTTATTAGCAGAGGCATTCAGTTCAAGTGCAGGGAGGTTATGTTGGAACTGATTAAAATGTTGGTTAGGTCACAGCTAGAGTATTGTATGCACTTCTGAAATCCACATTATAGGAGGGAGGTGATAGCACTGAAAAGGGTGCAGAGGAGATTTACTTGAATGTTGCCTGGGCTGGAGAATTTAAGTTGTGAAGAGCGATTGGACAAACTGGGTTGCTTTCCTTAAAGCAGGGGAGATTGAGAGGGGATATGATTGAGATGTATAAAATTGAGGGGATTAGATAAGGGAAAAAAAATTACCCTTGATGGAGGGATCAGTAACCAGGCGTATAGATTTAAGGTAAAGGGCAGAACGTTTAGAGGGTATGTGAGGAAAAACATTTTCACCCAGAGGCATTTTGAAAATCGTAATTTTATCATGCAAAGTCACCTTCGTGAAAAGGAAATTATGTCTGACTAATTTATTCAAGTTTCTCGAGAGAGCCTCAACCAGAGTGGATAAAGGGGAGCCAGTAGATGTGTTGTGTTTGGCCTTCCAGAAGGTATTCAACAAGGTTCCTCAAAAAAAGTTAAGTCATTAGAGCTGATGATGTTGGACTTGGTATATTGGTGTGGACAGGGAATTGGTTAATGGGCAGAAAACAGTGAGTGAGGGTAAAAAGTTTTTTTTCGGGTTGGTGACCTGTGACCAGTGGAGTTCAAGTGATTAGTGCTGGGACCGCAACTGTTTACAATATATATTAATGACTTGGAGGAAGGATACAAATCTACTGTAGCCAAATTCACAGACAACGCAAAAGTAGGTGGACAGTTTATAGAGAAATATGGTAAGTTAAGTGAGTGAGCAGGAAGATGGCAAGTGGTGTTTAATGTGAGAAAATGTGAAGTTAATCCTTTGGAAGGGACAGTAAAAGAACAGTGTTATTTACATGGAGAAAACTGCAGAAAGCTGCAACGCAAAGGAACCTGGGATACTTGTACTCAAAACACAAAGCTCGACACCTGCTCGACACAACAGGTTATCAGGAAGGCTAATGGAATGTTGGCCCATATTTCAAAGGGTTTGGAGTATAACAGTAGGGAAGTCTTCTGCAAGTGTACAAGGTGCTGCTGAGACTACACCTGAAGTACTAAACAGTTTTGGTCTCATTTAAGGAAAGGTACCATGTCATTGGAGGCAGTTTGGAGAAGGTTCACTATGACAATCCCCAGTATGGAGGGATTGTCTTATGATCAGAAGTTAAACAGAATGGGACTCTACTCATTGAAGTAGAAGAAGAATGAGCAGTGATATAATTGATACATATAGAATTCTTAAGGGGCTTGACAGGCTAAATGTTCTGATGGGAGAATCAAGGACCAGAGGGCATAGTTTCAGAATTAAGGGGTGCCAATTTAAGACTGAGATGAGGGAGAATTTCTTCTGAGTTGAGGGTCTTTGGAACTACTTGCCACAGAGAGCTTTGGTGACACAGTCCTTGTGTACATTTAAGACTGAGATATATTGATTCTTGATCAGTAGCGAAATCAAAGGTTAAGGGGAGAAGGCAGGAGAGTAGACGTGAGGAAGGTCAGATCAGCTATTGAATGGTGGAAAGGTGTGAGGGGCTGAATGGCTCCTCCTGTTTCTATTTTGTAAGGTCTTATTGTCAGAGGATTGTGGGAATTTGGAACTCATTGCCTGTAAGGGTGGTAAAGGCAGAAACTGTCTTAACATTTGAAAAGCATTTAGATGTGCACTAATAATACCAAGGCAATACAAGTCAATAGGCCGAGTGCTGGGAAGTATTATTAGAATAGTTATGTGTTTGTCTTTGACTGGTATGTATGTGATGGATCAAAGGGTCTTTTTCAATGCTATAGATCTCAGTGACACTGACTAAACAGAACAAAAGTAGCCAGCTTGATTGGCATCCCATCCACTACCTGCAATGTCCATGCCATTCACCACTACTAAGTGGCAGCAGTATTTAACTGTCCACAATGTACACTGCAACGACTTACCCGAAGTTTGTCTAGCAGAACCTTCCAAATACATGACCTGTGTCACCTCGAAGGGCAAGGATGCCAGATGTGGGAAACATCCTGCAAGTTTCCTTTTAAGTCACCAGCCTGACTTTTATATGTATATTGCCATTCTTTCACTGTTGCTAGATCAATATCCTTCCTAATTAGCATACTGGGTGTCCCTACAATCCACAGACTGCAGTGGGTTCAAGAAGGCAGCTCAGCACCAACTTCTCCAGGGCAGTTAGGAATGAAAATGAATGCTAACCCAGCCAACACTGTCTACATCCTGTGAACATATATGATAATGATGCATGATAAGCACTGAAATGAAGGCAATGAGATAAGCCAAGTTATGATTGATGTCATTTGGAGAAACCTTTTGATGGTGATGCTGCTTTGCAATATGAACAAGCCTGTTTCTCTATGATAAAGACTCTCTAAAGTTAGATGGAACTTTCAGCTGCCCTGGAATATTTTACAAACTCTGGTGTCAAAGGAATTTTGGAATATTAATTGAATGTCCAAGGAAGAGCTCCGTTAATGACTTATCATTTATCATTTTGATATGTTTTGGTATGTTATTTGTCTCAGATCTAAATTGATATAGTCTTCTGACTCTCCACTGCCTGTCCACTGCCTACAAGGTACAAGTCAGGAGTGTGATAGAATAGTACCCACCTGCCTGAATGAGTGCTGCTCCAGCAACATTCAAGAAGCTTGACACCATCTAGGACAAGACAGCTTGCTTGGTTAACATGGCACCTGATTTGCAAAAAAATCACTGCCTCTGCTACCGTGCACAGCATCAGCCGTGTGTATCATCTAAAAGGTACGCTGCAGAAATTCACCAAGCTTCTCAGACAGCACCTTCTAAACCCGCAACCATACTGTCTCGAAGGTCAAGGGCAGCAGACGAATGGGAGCACCACTATTATATTAAAAAACAATTTATATTGAAGTATTATTATTTCTTCAGAAATGGACATTTGACACGTTTGCATTAGTCAGTCATATTTATGGTATTGCTTCAATCATTGTGTTTTGTGCTACCGAATGAAAAATATTCTCTTTTTAATTTTGTTTAAATTGCTTTAGCAGGTTGTACTCCTTTTCACTGAGTTGAACTGCATTCAAATGGTTTTGAGGTGGAAAATAGCAAAACACTGCTTGTTGAACTGCTGCTTTGCTCAACTAAGATTTTAAAATATACTTAAAAGACAAGTATAGTTAACTATAACAATTGCAATCTATTATAATCTAATGTTGGGTTATGTTGCTTTCTAGTCTGAAGGATCACATTCTGCAGACCACCTGCAGAGCATTGAAGAAGAGGTCAGATCTGCAGCTTGCAGTCTGGTATGTGAGTGGGCCCAGAAAGTATTAATCCGAAAATTTGATTCAGTGACTGATCTAGCTCGCTTCCTTGTTACCAGTCACTATATTGGCACAAAGTCTGTTGCTGCATTGTCGGTGATGGCAGGTGCAACTTCAGGTGAGTAACTGGTATTCATTAGAATGTTACCCAGCCTATCTCCATTTAACTTCCATAAACTAATACTGCATGTTTTATTTTATTTAGGTAGGATGGTGAGGTATGTAGCAAAAACAGAAAATGCTGGAAAAGCTCAGCAGATCTGGCAGCATCTTTGGAGAGAAATCAGAGTTCATGTTGGTCAACCCGAAACATTTAATTGATTTCTCTCCACAGATTCTGCCTCTCCAGCAATTCCTGTTTTTGTGTCTGATTTACAGCATCCGCAGTTTATTTTTTGGTTTTGGTTAAGTATGTAGTTTGTTGCAGAGGTACTTTTGATTTGATATTATTGGGAGGACTTAAGTTTTGAAGGATTGTCGAAATTATTTATTTCAAGTTTTGTGGAATTACCTGGTGTAGTTTATTTAGAAGTGATCATTGAAAGTTCATTGTGGACATGGAGATCTATTTTTAACAAAGCTTCCTGAAAATCATATGATTGGTGATAACTGCTTAATTTGGTGTTGACCCCCTATTGAGACTGACTGATTTTGTTACCTGATTTAATAGAAGGAAAGTCTGCTGAAAATAAGTTTGTGTCAAGCTGATCTCTTATATTTGAAAAGAAAACCTTGTTGAGATCAAAGTGAAACCTATTTGTTTCTTTGAAAGATTGATTGAAGAAACATCTCAAGATTGTTTCCTAAGCTGTAAGACTTCAAAAGACAACTGTGCATGATTAGAGGCTTGAGAGCTTATGTCAACATAAGAATAACAGTCTAGAGAGCATTCTACACTTTATCCATTTGCCTTCAAGGTTAGCTCTTTCAGCAAAGGTTTTTTTCAGAAAGCCAATATCCTCAAGAATTTTTTTTCTTTTTGTAAGAAACCACGTAATTTTCCCTTTTTGGTCTATAAACCCAAGTGGAAGTTAGACTGCTATATATCTGAAATACCAGGAGTTTTGCATCTTAGAAAAAACATCTGGTGCAAGATAGTGTTACTTCTCAGTGAGGCAATAAGAGATACTTGGAGACAGAATGGCACAAAATAGTCTACGCGTTAAAGAAAATCTCCCTGATGACATTCCTCCAGTTGGTTGAGCTGCAGTTTTACAAAACTAGAAGTGCAAGGCAGCATGAGACATCCAGAGCCGCAAACTAAATCGATCTTTCTCTCTCTGACACACAGAGTGAAGAATAGCCATTGCTTTATAACAGTCAGTTGAAATTGTGGAATGCAATTTAATCCACCCTGTGATCCGGAATTTTGATCTGTGGAATTTTGTTTTCCCTGTCTGTTTTTTAAAACCAATAATGTGTCGAATCGTCATCTTTTGTCTTAATTGTGAATTTGTGTGTGTACTTGGGGTTTCTGAAGCGATGTAGTTTTAAGTTACGTAGTCATTAGATATCCATTTCTCTACCATTTGTTAAATAAATAGTTGTTTTCTGTTAACAATAAAACCTGGTGAGAATTGCTTTTGTCCTGAATAGCAGTTAGTCGAGCAAATTGGTCCTCTTCATGGGTTGATTAAAATTTTGTACAGTTGGTGACAACTAGATGGCGCTTGTGTTGGAGCATAATAACATTTCTGATGGACTGATTAGGAAAATCTCCATTTTGTGATGTCTTGTGGAACTGTGGGGTATGATTATTGTCATACTGTTCCCAGTTGCAACAGATTTTCATGAGTTTGTGTGTTTGTTGATATTTGAAGGGATGACGATTCATGCTTGTATATTATTTGTGGTTAACCAATTGTTCCATGCTTTTTGGATATGTTTTGTTCTGAAGATAAACCAATAATTGTTTGTAAAAACAAAAACCTGACTGACGGATTTTCTTGTTTAAAATCTAATATAGATCAGGTATTCAAAAGGTCATCTTGGTAACTGCAAGAAGTATTTTTATTTTGTGTTGTGAGCCATTGCATAAATAGACTAGAACAACAATGTATTCCTCTGCCTCAGTCATAGCAGGTTAACTAAAAAGGTGCTTTGCAACCAGATTGTCAAGTAGATGGGCTCCAAATCTTACAGATAACATGCTTGAATTTGTATTAATTGTAACATTAGATTGGCATTTATTATTCAAGTTTAAAATTTTAGCTACATAGCCTAAATTAGATCCCTGGTCCTGTAGCCCACCCACCTATTTATCCCAATTTTGTTTCCTACATTTTAACAGTAACTACTCTTCAAAAGTTCTTTGCTTATAAAGCATGTTGAGATATCCAGTGGTCATGAAAGATATTATATAAATGTTCTTATTTTCTCTCAATGGACCTCAAACCCCGTTGTTGAGAAATGCTTTTGAAATCTCTACCCTTCCTCAACATCTTATCAGAATGTTGCTTGAAGGACTAATTGGAGTGAAGAAGATGCTTAGGCTAGTTGCAGGCAAGGGAAGAGGATTCGTAACCCTCACAGTGGGGAAACATACTTAAACATTTAGTTGTAAATGATATATATTATGTATATTTTTATATAAATATAGCTTCTTGTACTGAATACCCAGAAATGTCTCACCAAAGGACATCTAGCTGGGTGCCAGTTCCCCTGCTTCGGGGTACACCTGCCCCCAATATTCACTACAGTATTTTGCATCCTTCTGCTGAATATCTTATTCTCCCACATTGAGTACCTGTTTAGAGAAAACTGCTGTGATCATACTTTGGTGACAGGTTCATGGCCCCTTCCAAGGCATCCATTTTCAGACTTCTTTTTTGTGTTGGAATATTCTACTACTCCTAGTTGGCCTTGGATCACCTGTCTTAATCCTCCAAAAAGTACAACTGCCTCTCCCATTGCTTTAATATCTTGTAATGCCAGCCCCATTCCAGTCATTTTCACTGATTACTTTGGAGATCAGACATCCTGGAAACCATTAGTGCATCAGACTATAAGCCTTAAAAATGTCATGTATTTGAATATTAATCTTTTACCTGTAAAACAACATCTGATTTTCCAAAAAAGGACCCTAAAGGAAACACACAACTATATATACACAATGTGGACAGAGCAGTTATGCACCTGGTATTTGCACCTCAAATTATCTCACAATTGCAAATTGCAACTGAATAATCTCAAGATATTTTATGGAAGAGTAGGGGCAAAAATACAGTTATTTCTGTTTGTTTCTATTCACTTTGATAACATGCCTCCCTCCGTGATGTGTACAGATGTATACACTTATATCAATCTATAAACCAATTTCTCTCAGCAGTAACAATTATCCTTTCACCTGTTGATAAAGCATTTCCTACAGGGAGAACTGAACAGGTAGAACTGGTTTCTACTCAGGTTACTGTTTGTAATCTTAGAGACATTTCAGATAAACAGAGACAACACAGTGTAGAGCTGGAGGAACAGAGCAGGCCAGGCAGCATTGGAGGAGTAGGAAAGTTGACATTTCAGATCGCAACCCTTCTTCAGAAAAGGATCCCGACCCAAAATGTCAACTTTCCTGCACCCCTGATGCTGCCTGGCCTGCTCTGTTCCTCAGCTCCACACTGTGTTTTCTCTGACTCCAGCATCTGCAGTTCTTGCTATCTTTCAGATAAACAGATTTTGATGTTGGTAGCAAAGAACTTTGCTAATGACAATCCATTCACACCTCTTCAGAAATGATTATGGAGACACAAATGCTTCACTCATTGTACAATAGAGTTTTTAAAGGATTCTAAAATTCTCCCTGTCCTGGACTTTGTCACTGTTTTTTTGTGAAAATTATTAGTGAATCATCAACTGCTTTAGTCTATTTAAAACACATTCTTATCCATTTATAGTTTGACTTGTTGTATAGATTCCATTTTGCCAACTTTTTTTTTAGGGGTGCTGATATCCTATCCTGCTCCTGTTGAGGTTTTATTGTTTACGTGCAGTTTAACCTCATTTTGGCAAACACTATCTCGTTTGTATTTGATGTCTGATGCAAAGAAGTGGCAATGTTCCATTCCTAGCATTGACATCCTTATTAAGCATTTTTTAAAAAAAGGTTATTTCTTGGTGTGTACAAAAATAATTTGAAGAATCAACATACAGCCTATTGCTTTATTGCTGTAACTACATGTTCAAGAAACAACTAGTAACCACAACAGGTGCTACACCAGTGTAGTTGAAAGCCCTGAATAAAGAGGTTAATGTTAATTATGACAATGGATGTTGAGAAAGCAGTGCTGCTCTCTGTGGATCCTGAATAATGACTTCAAAAAGTGGACAGGTGGAGCATTCTGTAGGGATCCATGGAGCAGTTGTTTGTACAATGATTTGCAGAAGTAGAGATTTATATGACCCTATTACACTCAAAGGAATAAATGGACTAGTAGAGCCAGGGTCATTGCTTTCCACAATCACTACATCAGGTTTTCACTTGTGTTAGAGCTGAAACAAAGAGTGCAGCAGGCGTAAAGCGGGTGAAGTTGTTTTTTAAGAAATACATCTTTAACAACCTGTAAATAATGCCAGAAATCACACTTTAAAAGCTGCACATTTTAATGTTAGTGTTGCTGCTGATATTTTCAGTGACCTACAATGCATCTAATAGTCATGACACTTTTTTCACAAGGTAGTGTAATTTTCTTTCTTACAGGAACAAAGCAACCTTCTGCTTTTGTGCCCATGACTGAAAGCAATTCCTTTCAGCCACAGGTAAAGACTTTGCTTTCCCCATCAGTTGATGCCAAACAACAGTTGCAACGTAAAATTCAGCAAAATACATTGAAGAAACAGCAGGAACAAAAACTTCAATCTCCACTACCAGGCGAGCAACAAGTAAAAAAACTAGAAGGTGCCACTGTTGGGCAAGTGTCCAACATCCCAAATGGAAGCCCTGCTCTTCTTTCTCCTCAACCTACCATTGGCATTGTGGTGGCAACTGTTCCCAGCCCTATCCAAGTAAGTCATTCATTGTTCAATATCAAAATTGAGTAGTCAAGAAATAGCATGGCATTGGTTATGAAAATCATCAAAACTAAAATTCGTTACCTGACTGCGAATTACTTGTTGGCTTTCATTAACCCAGCCGTATAATTTTTGCACATTGCATTTAATTGATTGTACTTGGTTATTTTGGTGATGAAACACTGCACTTCAGTAGTTGTCAGCCCTAAATTACTTTCAAACTGCCTTAATTTTCATTGTTTATCTGCTAAACTAGGTGGTTCATATGAAGAATTGTCAAAAGCAATAAAACCTTTCCCTTCATAGAAAGAAAACAAAAAAAAACCGCATTATAGCTCCCCCTTGCAAGTATACTTTTCAAGCAGAAATGGAATAATACTGATTCTGATTACTGTTCGTGTTACTCTGCTGTCCCCTCTCTCCTGAAGATAGTATAGTGATCTACTAATCCATTAGGGAACCAGTTATATTGCACCTTTAAGGCAATAAAATGTCCCAAGGAACTTCACAGGAGTGTTAGCAAGCAAGATTGGACTCAAAGCCTATATTCAATAAATCTGATGAATATAAAGCCTCAGAAAGTGTATATTAATTTAGATAACATTATGGCCTTTTAAGCCATAAGGATATACATTGAGTGCCTGGTGTCTTTGAGCATAAATAAGTTGTACAGATCAGACTCTGTCTCCAGCTTGTGATCAGTTAGCTGAGAGCAACATGAGTGACAGTCGTGTGCTAGAATTACTTTTATTTCCTCAGGATTCAGAGAAACCCCAGTTAGGGTTCTCATTTCTGATTGCAGCCTGCCTGAATGTTTGGTGAAGGCAGCATTAAGCTCAGCTGTGATGTGGTCTTGTCAGCGACACTTGCTGACTGGTTCTGGCCAAGGTTACTTAGGCCTGCTGATATTCATGAACAATAATCATTGCACAAATGATCAGTTTCAGGGAGAAGAGTAGAAAATTGACGTAAGATTTGTAAACACACTAACATGTTTGTGATAAATCAAATACATTTGGGAAATTAAACTTTGATTTACTTCAGATTTTTACAAATGCCATGAATACAGGAGGGCCATGTAATATTCATTTAACTTAGCCTTGTTTTCTGATTGATTCCTGTTTACAATTTCCCTGAATTACTAAATATTAGCCGTCGTTTCATGGTATCACACTGTTGCGGGTTCAAGTTTCACTCCATAGACTTGCATGTCATCTAGGCTGATGTTTCAGTCTGAAAGGCAGTCTTTTGCATGAGATATTAAATCAATGGACCGGCTGCCCTTAAGGTGGATATTAAAGATTCCAAGGTACTGATTAAAGCTGAGCTATGAATGTCTTCGCTGCATGTTGGCTAATAGGTTTTTGACATCACTAAAATGGACTATCTAGCCATTGTCCTTTAAGAGGCATCTTGATGTGCAAGTATCTCCAAAATACTTAATTGGATAAAATTTGTTTTGAATGGTCTTGAAAGGTATTACATCAATGCAAGTACTTTCCTTTATTTTGGTAACAAATGTTATTAATATCATGAGCAAATATAAATATTTAGCATTGTATCTTGAAGTGGGGAAAAAATCCAGTGTATGTTTTTTCATTGTAGCTTGGTCCCGTTCTGATTCCAAGATAGTTGATTCCTTACAAGCATGCTCCTCAGGAGAAGGAAAATGGTGCTCTGTGTTGTATCCTGTTGCCCCAATATTACTGCAGGTTATAATCATACTCATAACAGTACAGAAACAGACTCTTCAGTCCAACCAGTCCATGCTGACCATTCTTTCATTTCTGAAAAAACCATAATTCCAAATGTCTTTTTAACTGTTATAATTACCCACGTCCATCACTTCATCTGGAAGTTCATTCCACACACTAACCACACTGTTTAAAAAGAAAGTGCTTTGTGTCTTTTTTTCCCAAATCTTTTTCCGTTCGCATTAAAAATTTGTCCCCTAGTCTTGAAATCCTCCACTCTAGGGAAAAGACACCTGCCATTCATCTTATCTATACTCATTAATTTGTGAAACTCTATAAGATCACCTCTCAACCTCCTATGCTCCAGTGGGAAAAAGCCCCAGCGTAACCAGCCTTTCTTTATAACTCAAACCCTCTATTACTGGCAGCATCCTGGTAAATCTGTTATGACTCCTCTCCAGCTTAATACTTTCCTATATATTACATGAAGACCAGAACTGGATTTTTTTTTGCTGGAAATTAATTCTCCAGTGAACAATATTGATATTGCTTTTTTTCAATTTCTTTTTAAAGAAAACACCATCCTGAATTAGATATAAATCATTATCCCTTCATGATTGTTAAGTCAAAATTCAGGAACTCCCCACATACCAGTGCTGTGGGAATATCTTCATGCAGACTACAGCAGTCAAGGCAGCTACATCTTGAGATGAATTGGGGGTGAATGATAATGCTCGCTTTGCCAGTGATATTTACATCTTATGAATGATTTTTTAAAAGTCAGCCAAACAAAGTAGTTTAATGTTGATGCACATTGGAATGTGTGTGAATTGGAAGAATGTTAAAATGGGAGAAAAGACTGCTTGGGACACAGTTAGCTTGTGCAGTTAACTTGCTGATATTTTCAATAACTTAAGGTAACTCTGGAAATAAAAATGGAATATTTGTACCTTAATTTATTTGGATAATTTACCCTGTTCATTAATACTTTACGCATTAAAGAAATGTCTCAAAGCAATCGGTATCAGGTCTTCTGTTTACATTTAGTGAGATACAAACAAAATATCACTAGCCTCCAGCTGAGGAGTTTGTAAATAGGTTCATTTATAATTTTTATAGGTGTTCTATGTTCCATTTTTCAGATGCAAAGAAGCAGACAGATGATGACATCACCGAGTCCATTAGGTTCATCAGATAGCAAGGTCCTTCCTTTGAATGTTCAAGTTGTTGCACAACACATGCAGTCAGTCAAACAGCAGCAGAAGACTGTCCAGAATGTTCCTGCCAGTCCACATAATGATCGCTCAAGACCTCGTTATCATCAAATTTTGCCTAAACCAGCCTCAACCAGCACACTTACCCTGAATTCTCCAACAACAGTACTTTTGGCTGGAAGTCCAATTAAAAGTGTTGTTTGTGGGACATCCCACGCAAGCCCCTTGAATATGGTAAAGATGGCAGCAATATCTCTCCCTCCTAACACTGGCACATCTCCCAAACCTACATCATCAGCAAATAACAATACTGGAACAACAGACAAATTGAAAACTACAACATTGAGAGGTAGCTCAACTTCTTGTCTTCCTGCTGCAGGATCCAAAACAAATAACGTAACAACCACACCTACTGCCGAGGTAATTAAAGCTGAACATGAAGCAATATCAAGTGATGAAAAGCAGATTCAGTGCCAAGAGAATTTAAGTCAAATGAAGGATCCTAAAAGAACAGTTGGCTACTCACCTTGTGAGCAGAAAAATAATAGTGAAGCTATCGTGAAAGTGAAGCCATCAAATGGGAAAACAGCTAATGAGAAGACAGCAAAAGTCTGTAATAGTCAGAAAACTGAAGGAAGAAAGACCAAAAATGAAGGGAAATTTGTACAGCATGAAAATCTGACCATTTCGATAGCAGGAAATAACCAAAATGTTTTTTCTGTTTCCTCTACTTCAAATTTCACAGACACCAGCATTAGTGCAAAGTCCATTACTGATACTGCCAAGTCTCCTAAAGACAATGGGCTGTGTCCAAAAAGTCCAAGAAAACGTTCTCCCTCAACTTCTGCATTTGAACCACAGGTGCCTCCTGTGAAGAAAGCTATGCTTTTAGAACGCACTATAACTAGTGTAGAACATCAGAAGGCCTGCCATGGCACTGTAGTAATGACATCTCCAAAACCAACTGCAGATTTACCAGTAAAAGGTGAGAATGCAGCAGCAGTGGTTCAGGCACCTGGTAAAGTTACTGTTAAACTGAATACAACGGGAATAACCCGTATATTAGCAAATCCTTCATCTAATATTCAAGTAGTAACCTTAGATTACTCACAGACTACTGCAGACCAAACAACTACCTTACAAGAAAACAAAACAACAGATTTGGAAATGGGTTCATTCAATTTGCAAGGAAACACAAGTACAAAACTGACCACCAGTCATACTGACATGCAGCATATCAAAAAGGATCAGCAGTGTTTTGTGGCTGCAGAAAGACTACCAGTTTTAAATGCTGATGTCGTTGGAAATTCAGGGACCACTGATTATCAGGTGTCTGAATGGGAGCCAGGACAACATAATGGGTTGGATCAACAGTCTTATGATCAGCAAATGCACACTCAGAACCAGCTACAAAGTTCTACATCAATTCAGTTACAAGACCTAAATCAAGCAACGCTATCGAACCAGTTACCTCTGCAGGATAACTTGATGGAGCTTGCACCTTCAGGTTCACAAAACAATGAAAACTACTTCCAGTTTGATGAAGATCTCACACAGGACAGTATTGTAGAAGAATTAGTATTATTTGAAGAGCAAATGTCTATGAATGTTGGTTATGGAACTGGTTTGGGAATATCTGCTCATTCCACAATAGGTCAAGGTACAGTACTGTCATCTCATCAAGCTGGACAATTCTATCATCCAATCCATAGCAGTGGCACTCCAACCCCAACTCCTACACCAACACCAACACCAACTCCTACACCCAATCCAACACCTACGTCAGAGATGATTGGCTCTCAAACTTGTTCAAGTCCAAGTTCTAGAATGGCTCAAACAACGCCTGTAGATAGTGCGCTTGGCAGCAGTAGGCATACACCAATTGGCACTCCCCATTCGAATTGTAGCAGTAGTGTGCCTCCTAGCCCTGTTGAATGCAGAAACCCTTTTGCTTTTACTCCCATAAGCTCCAGTATGGCATACCAGGATGCTAGTGTTATTTCTAGCAGTCCTGTTAAACCAATGCAGAGACCCATGGCCACTCACCCAGACAAGACAAAAATTGAATGGATGAATAATGGATACAACACTGGAGTAGGCAACTCCACAGTTTCTAACAATGGTGTTGGTATTCTGTCCAGCTATCAGGAACTGACTGAGGACCACTTTAGAAAGCCACATGCCTTTGCTGTTCCTGGACAAACAATGCAGTCATATCACCATAATGCCATGCAGTTACAATCCAGACATCATGATGCTCAGTTGGGTCGTTTGACTCCAGTTTCGCCTGTACCACACCAGGCAGCTTCAGTGGCTAATGGCAATAAGCAGGAGGGTTTTGCAGTTCCAGCACCACTTGATAACAAAGGAATGCATTCATTAATCAGTAACTTTAGGTGTCGCAGTGTCAGTCCTGCTGTTCATCGTCAGCGTAATCTTAGTGGAAGTACTTTAACTCCTGTGAATAACTTGCCAAGAACAAGTTTGGCATCTTTTGGAAGCCCAGTAACACCTGAAGTTCATAACACCTTTGGTAAAAGTCTTTCAGATAACAGTGCCAACAGTATGGCTCAACGAAGCCAATCTGTCCCTTTGTCTGTTATGATGCAGACTCCTTTCCCATCTTACCAGAAGCAAACCAACACTAAGAAAATTACAAATGTGTTGTTAAACAAACTTGATTCAGACAGTGATGATGCAGTCAGAGGTCTAGGAATAAACAATCTGCCCTCCAATTATACAGCAAGGATGAATCTTACTCAAATATTGGAGACAACATCTAATTGTGGTAGTGCCAACCAGCAACCAATGATTAGTTCAAGCACTTCTGTCTTTGAATTCCAGAAGCCTAGTTACCTCATAAAACACACCGATAATGATCAGTTGGGTTATATTTCTGAGGATAATCAAGCACAAACAGAAGCCAGAGAGCAATCATTGGATTTCAACAATACAGTCAAAGACTTTCTGGCTGAAGATAGCCTACAACCAAACCAGCAAATGGTTGGTCAAGTAACATCAGATCTCAACGTTGCCTCTGATTTCTCCAGTGATCTCAGGTTGTCCACGGAGTTTTCAGGCAGCATAAATGATTTGAGCACTTTAGATACAAATCTGCTGTTTGACCCAAGTAAACAACAGGGACAAGATGTTGATACTACACTGGAGGAATTGAATGATGATGCAGTGTTCCAGCAAATCTGTAATGAGTCCATGAGTTCCATGCAGTCTTCAGGTTTTGACTGGATGGAAAGTAAAGATCATCCTGCGGTTGAAATGTTAGGTTAAATCAAAGAGTACAGTTTAACATATAGCACACCCTTAATTTTTTGACACATCCTATTTGGCCTAATAGATGTGCCTGCCTTAAGAGAAACAATTTTTCCTTTCTAAAAAAAAAATGGTGTTACAGGAGAAAACCAACTACTTTTACATACTTGGCGTTCAATAATCTTGTGTCCATAATTTTATTTTAGGTGCCAGTATTTGATATCTTCCAGTATGTATGTTATCCCATAAGCAAGTGGGTTTGTTTATAAGCTAATCTGTCTCAGGTAGATTGCTCTTGTAAAATGTAAATGCAGTTAGTCTTTTTAAGATCAATGGTGAGATTAAATCTTATTCAGTTTAGGTCAGTTTATCTTGTGTACAGAAACATTTTAACTCATTGCCCTTCTGACTTTTTATTATTCAGTATACGATTTTGTTGACTATAATTTCAATCCAGCATCTCTTTTTAAAAAGAATAATCATAGTGTGAAATATAGTTACTATTGCCCTGCACATTAAGTTAATCCATTTGGTTTACTTTGTGTTTTCTACTGAAATTTCCATAACTGTCTTGAAAGAAACTGTTTATATATGGGTATCAAAGTCTCCTTTTGTTTTTGTTCTCTGCTTAATTTTACTCATTGGTGGCATCTGGAAGGTAACATAATGTACAAGAAGAATGCAGTTCTCAGTGACAAAAAAGGAGACCAGGGGATACATTGCTAATTCATGAGATCGCTCAAACAACAAAAGTGGATCACAGAATTCCAGGTTGCCTTAATTGACTTGGCATTTTGAGTTATGTGATAAAGTTAGGTACATTTCCTCAGTTGTCAGCAGCGTAAATTTATCTTTTAACATGGAATATTCAAACCCTTAAATTTGGCAATTTAGACATGACAGCATATGCATCAAGTATTTTATCCCTTTGTGATATTCCTATTGGACTTATTAACTTGTTTTTGATACATTCCTCTGCAGTATTTTAATGGCAGTGTTAAACCCATTTATATTAAACACGTAAGCAACTATGTTAAAATAGTGCATACAGAAATTGAACACAAACTCATTAACAAGTGCACTAAAAATAATGCTTTAAACTCCTTGCACCTTTTACTGAGAGTCTAAATTATACAGCAAGTCAATGGGGAATTCTTTAAAAAAAACATATTTCTTTGTTTTAACAATATGCTGTAATAAGAACTTTAAATAGAAAGCTTTCACCTAGAAAATGATGTTCATCATGTGCCCGAAAGAAAGGGAAGATGCATCAAAATACATGAATGTTAAAACATTGAAAAGAACAGAAAACTAAGAAGTTGCAGGTATTTTTCTGTCCTAAAAGGATGAAATTATACTTTACTGGACAGTATCTCACAGTACAGCAGGATTGAGTGAAACGATTTGACAGTGGAATATTGGTGAATAAACTCAAAAGAAATTCACTACATCCAAAAAGAAATTGGCTTGAATTTGTCTCTGGTATAATTTATCTACTTTGTCTCCCCCTTGAGAGTATATCTTTATCAAAATCCACAAGTTTTTCTGATTGTGCTTCAGGTAAATATAAAATTGAATATGATCCTGAAATATACATTTTTACAAAGTAGAGATTCGAAGAATTTTGATCTGAACAGAAGCAATACAGAAATAGGGAACTCAGTTGAGCATATTGAGGATAAACACCAATGCAGACATTTTGATTTGAGTGCCATATTTCTGTATTGCAGGTTTTGTCTAATTCATTGTAAAGCTTGGACTACCCCTTCAAAAACAATGGTGCAAAGATAATCTGTAATACTTTTTAAAAGGGCAAAGGATAAATATTTGAACAAGAATTATTAAGAAGTGAAGAATGTTGGGGAAATTATGCTAAGTGGATAACTCCTTCATACACATTACTTGGGCACAAACGTCGTCTGATGAAATAAATTGTTTTGCTTTTACCATTGTCTACATCTCTGAAGTAGATGGCAGAAAATTGAACAGGGTTCTGAATGCAACTTGGTCTTTTTGCTGCAAGTAGTTGTGTATGTTTCAATATTTCCCCTTCTTAACTGGGAATGATTAAAAGCATAAACAATTTGTATCTTAAACCTTTTTGAATTGTAAAGTTCTACATCACATTGCATTAATCTTTGGAGCATTCACTGGAACTTCTAAATTTTTAGGAAAGAGAATTGAGTTTGACTGCTTTACCTCCCAGTTGAACAGCCGTCTAAAATCCAAATTTTCACCTGAAGAATATCAATTTATTTCAGATAACCTGAGAGCTTCATACATCATGGAATTGTAAATAGATATGAAGTCACATTAAAAAGAAATAGGATGGGGATTTGATTGGAAAATTAGAATGGTTAAGAAAAACTACGACAAATTGTGTAATAAATTTATGTAATTTGACCCAGTATATAGTGTAATAACTTGTCTAATGATATGTATTTCCCAATATATAAATTATCGATCATCTCATTCAGTAGCTAAGCACTTTAAACAAATGATCAGCAAACTGTAAAACAATTTTTAAGCAACACCAAGTTTTATTTCCAAATATTAAGCCTCTAAATATTCCATGAAAAATTGGAAATTTGGAAAAAGAAACACTTTGCTAGAACTCTAGCTTCGATGAAATAAATATTTTGAATTTAATGTTATGGAGCCACCTTGATTGTTTTGTGACAAATGCCTGTACAAATTTTAATGATTCCCAGTAATTGTCACTTTCGCAAAATTCACAGTTTAGTAATTGTTCTAGGATTTAATGGACACTTGGAGTTGTAATGTTTCCTGAACTGTTCTGTTGCAATTTATAAAATTTGCTTTTATTTAAATTTTAATGATTCTGCCAGTTTGCACAGTGGTGAGGTACTTAATCCATTTCCCTAAAATGTAGCAGAACCTTTTGACTACCTAATGTGTGTAACAATGGTTATGAAAAACCTATATTCCATTTTAATTGTTATGACTAAATGTATGCATAATAATGAAAATAAGAATTTGGTAACACAAATTGAATATTAAGTTGCATCTCAGTTACAGTTGATCCACATACATAAAATATATTTCAATTTAACAGTTCTCCACAAACTGAAATTTTGATTACAGGATTGCTAGTCTGTGGCACCAAATATTTTTTGTTATTTACTTCAATAACATTCTAAACCATCAGAATTTTATTCTAGTTGTATAAACATTTTTAACCTTGCACGTTAATTTGGGGGATACGAAATTGAAAACATAATCTCTGCAATGAGCAGTAATACAAATGTGTATCCCTTTGATAACAAGTTCTAGCCATCCAAAATTTATCCCATTGGACAAGTAGAATTCAGATGTTAAAAATCAACTTCAAAATATGGGCTTCTGTTGAAAATCCCTGTTTGAACTTTAGTGCAGTTCAGTTTATGCACCTGTGTGGCCACAGGATGGTGCTGTACTCCAATGTACGCTTTTTTAAACATAACCGAGTACTCTGGAGCAACTCGACATATCTAGTAGCATCTGTGGAGAGAAATTTTCTCAACATAGATCCTGCTGTATCTCCAACACCCTGCTTCTGTTTCAGATCTCCAGCATCCACAGTTCTTTGTTTTTTATTTTTTTAAATTAATTTAAACTTCATTTTAAATTAATTTTAAATGTTGATGTTTCTGCCCCAGGTGAAGCTGTTTGAGTAACTCTTTGCCCCTTCCTGATTTATAGCAAATCATCAAATACAGTCAGTAATTTCAAATTGTTAAATCAGAACTTAAACTGAATTTTGTCTGCTTGCTTAATGATAGTTAAAGGAAATATTAAATAATTTTTGAAGATGGTAGTGTGACACTAAGTGATATCTGGTTTTGTAAGGCAATTGGTATTATCATGAAATTAGATTTTTTTGACTTTTGACTTCCTTTTGTTTCCCAATTTCGTTTGAAACTGCTGTGTTGTGTTTGATGATGGAATGAAAGGCACATTCCTCCTTTTTTAGCTAAATATTTTCAAACAGCCACTTGAAAACAGTTTATTTCTGTTCTAGATCAATTGTTATTATTGCTATGGTCATTTGTCAATCATGAAGAATGCAACCACAGAGATCAGAAATAATGGCAGTGAAGAAATGTATCAATCTTGCAGTGAATTTCAGACTTACACCTATAGAAGCTGAGAAACAAGCCTGCGGAAGTAGATGTGTAGTACAGGAGTCTTAACCCTTTCTGTTTTTCATTGTGTTCAGTGTGACTTAATTGTATTTCTAACACTCGAACAAATAATGTTCTGCATAACACCTGTTCAGTTCTGTAGCTATACTTCAGAATCATGATTCAACAAAATATATGTTTAAATAATTGAAGTTATGTGATTGAATTTTATATATAATGACTAATTTTCCCTCTTTCTTATCATTGTCCAAATCTTTGCCACCTCCCTTCCCAGACCTCCTTCCAAACCAAAAAACGTAGCAAAGGTGGCATCAGTGTTTTGCTTCCTTTTCTTAATAACAAGGTTGAGAACAAAGAGATTAAAATTTACAAACAAGCCTGTAGTCTACTGTTTGAAAGCACAAGTACGGAATCTGAAATGTTTTTACATTTTACCCATCATATTATTTCTACTGTTTCTGAAAAGAAAAAATCTTGTCAATGTTACTTCATTTTTTGCAATGATGGATTGGAACAAACCTTAGATACTTGACTCACGGTTGCTGTCACTGGATCAACATATTTTCCTTCTGTTGCTTTCTGTTTTCTGACTGAATTCTGAAGCCTTTTTTGGCTTGGTTATACCAATAACTTACTTTTGAAGCCTATTATCGTTTTCCTCAGCCTCTAGATTATCTATATTTCAGATAGGCATTGGACTTCAAAATTAATATTAATTACATTGCATGGGTCAACAATAGCTGTTTTAGTTCTGCTATTTGTTTAATCTTGAGTCAAAAGTTTAATAGACAAATAGCTTGAGAATACATCAAATATTTGAATGATCCCAATTTCAAGTTTTGAATTTCAATAATGTATACACAAAACCAAAACCTATGGTTTACTGTTGATATATATGTTTCTTTGAAATTCGAACAGAATTGTTGACAATTGTTTTAAGCAAGTTAATACTTTGATAAAACAGGTGACTAGAATGGCACTCAAAAATGTTTGTGTATTTGTAAAGTTGGACATTGCACAACCATGTCTCAGCTGTAATCTTACTAATATTTACAAAAAACTATTCATAAATATAATTCAATTGTAAAAGAAAATGCTTTGTAACCAATTAACCAAGTTGAGCACAGATATATTCCATACAGTGTGGTTTTTGTTATTGTTCACACCTCCCAAAGTATTTTTCCCATATCATTGTGTTGTAAAAAGAGGAATTCAGGAATGACATGCAATTCCTGAACATAACCAAAAAAATCTTTTCTTGCTAAAAGGGACAGACGAGTTTAAAAAAGAATAATGGAAATCTTATTCATGCAGTCAAAATTTGTGTCCCTACATAGTTGATGCAGCAATTATTTCCATTCAATAATGGAAGAATCGCCTCCTGTGCACTTTCTGACATTCTCCCAAGCAATTTGGTTCCATCCAGTGTAGTTGGTCTTTGATCAGAACTTTAATGATTTTTATTCAGCATACAAATGATAACTTCTGCTAGAATTAAGCTTGTTTTGACTTGTTATTTTATACTAAAAGATCAATAATATCCCTATTTTTGGATGTGTTCAAGCTTATTTTAATCTTTTGTGGAAAACACAGTTTTCTTCTAGGACCTGTGGTGTGTTTTTCTGAAATGTGTAATTTGAAGCAACAGGTAAAACCACCTGGAGATGATACCTTGGGTCCAGTAATCACAGTATTTGAAATGGCCAGTGCATTCTGTTCAAATTAAAATAGACCTCTATTATAATTAATGTAATTAAGGAAAAAATCCTTTACTAAAAGTTGATTCAATTGATTGTTATACTTTAAATAATGCATCAATGCATTACTTTCAGGTAATTGCATGAAGTGGTTACATGCAATACCAGACTCTACTGTATCACAATGCATGATTTTTAATTTTCTTCGGTTTTTAAAGGTATTTAAAATGTTTTCTAGGAAACTCCAATTCTGCATGTGTAGGGGTTAGCCAATGGGCAAATTGGGGAAAAAAACTTAACGAAATTTTAAAATGTTAAGTTCTGATTTCCTGTATCTCTTGTGTAACTGCATTTTTTGGGATAATCATTTCTTCTTTAATGAATACATTAGTACATAAAAATAATCATTTTAGTAACCTGCCATCAGTTATATCCTCCCAGGTTAACTTTTGGCTGAACAATTTCTTCTGATTCATTGTTTCAGCGGCTCCGTCAATATTTTAACTCTACAGATGTATGATTTCCTCGAGACGTTGATAGTTGTAGTCCAGTAGACTGGAGCTGGCCAGTAGAGTACAGCTGAATTTACTTGGTCTAGCTCAATCAGTGCTGAAGTTAACACTGCACAACAAAATATCGCAGTAAAAATTTTAAATGTGTGATTGCACCTTAAGTATAATTGGAAATGTATTTTAAAATAGATGTTCATATTCAATTCTGAGTTCAGTGGACATTTTGATTATCTTTTGCACTAGATGCTTAAAGGGAGTTTCTGGCCTGGCACATCTCTTAGGACAAATGATAACAGTCACAGGCAACAAAGCTTTCATTTGATAAGGTTTTAGGAAATGAATCAATATTCAAGAAGTGAAATGTCATCTGCAAAGTGACAGATCTTGATTGTTTTATGTAGCAATGTACATTGATCTCAATGAGATAATTGTTTTACTTGATTCTCTTGTATGAGAATATTAAAACAGGATGAAAATTTAAAGTTCAGTTTGCTTCACTATGTTAACAAATGATCACAGGTGTGCATGCGTGTTGTTGGATTATATTGTACAGTGCTAGGTATATTCCTGTAACCACTTTTTGCTGAAATGAATCTGGTTCTTTAACAGCCAGGAATGCGCAGTTATACATATTACATGTTATGTACCTTTTAGAAGTTTACTAACTCACCTAGAAGCATTGTTGAATATGTTCAGTTTTAAGTTTTATTCTGTTGATTTTGAGAATTAGTATTTGGTAAAATATTGTGGAAGAAGTTCCTCCAGTAATTTGCTATACATATGCTTTTGCAAAGTAATTGCCATTATGAAAATGAGCTGATGAGAAGGAACTGGTTTCAGCAGTTATAACTAATGCACATCGTGAAGTTACAATAAATAGCAAACACCCACCCAACTCTACATCACAAGGTAATGCTTGCCTCTACCACAATTTTATTTAGTGTAGAATGTTTTTTTTTTAATGATGTTTGTCTGTTGTACTGCTGGAGAAAATCAGTGGTGCAATAATGTTGGAATAGTATTTCAGCTTAGTTTTTTTCTCATTGAAAATGCTCACAGACATTGTTGAAGTTTTGTAAATGGTTTCAAAACCAATAAAAAAAATTTTGTACTACATTCTGGTCTTGAACATATGTACGCATATATTGTGCTGTATTTCTGATAATGTCAGATCTACCTCCTGTTCTGGATATTATTCATTCGCACATGGGCAAATTCATTGGAAATACTATTTATGTAAGGGATTAGTTATTGACCTGAGAGTTGCAAATTCTAATGCTTTCAATACCAACGGAATCAATTCCTTAAAAAGCAAAATACTGTGGATGTTGGAAATATGAAATAAAAACAAAGTGCTGGAGAAACTCAGCAGGTCTGGCAGCATGATTTCTTCAGATCTATTTTAATTTTGAATCAAATTCTTAATAGTTTCAATGAAATGAAAAATCAAAGCAGAATAATTAGGTTAACATACTGCATTTCAAACCCGGAACTGGTATCCTACCATAGAGTCCTACATGAAATGTACTCAGCAGCCCAGTGGAATCGCTTTACAGCTCACAATAATGAATTGCTTATCTTGAAAAAAATACCATTCTTCAAGTCTATCACTTGCAACCCTAGGTCTTTGTCAAAAGTTCATTTTATCCCCCCAAGAACTTCCAAAATATTCAATCTAAACAAGTTTATTCTGCTTTGTAATAAATTAACCAGCCACCACTTCAAAACATCATATGAAAATTTGTATACATTGTTAATTTGTATCTGAAGCATTTGAACAATTCTGAGCCTCATATTTCAGAGCTGATAAAAATAAACTGTGCAACTCTCAGCAAATGGAACTTTTGTTTATTTCCAGCTATTATTTCACAAGATACCTAGAGTAAATTAAACTTATTTTGCAGACAGTCAATGTATCTAAAAAATAATTAAAGAAAACTCTGCCATGCACACTACAATGTTTGCATGCATGAAGAATACATATTTTATAAAACACACAAATGGACAAAATCGTAAAATCATGAGGAAGCTATTCAAAGAAGAGCCAATCAACTTGCCTCAATCTGGTATTATTGTCAACCCTCTAACATTGTTTTACTCATTCAAAGGACGTGGGTGTTGCTGGCTAGGTAAGCATTTATTAACCATCCCTAATTGATCAGGATATTTAAGAATCAACCACATTGCTGTGGACCTGGAGCCAATGTGGGCCAGACCTTTGGGCTAGCTTTTTATTCCACATTTTATTGAATTCAAATTTTGCTGACTGCCACGGTGACATTCAAAATAATATCTCCAAAAGATATTTGACTGAGAATCTGTGTTTCTAGTCCAGCAACATAATCACTATTCCACTACCTTCATCTGAGTCTCCAGGAATTGGAGATCATGCTTCAAACTCGATGTGAGCATCCTTGTGGAATGTGAAGTTGGATAGAGAGAATATTGTAGCATTAAAAGCGATGATTTTATATTGTACTTCAATTCTTGTTTAATTATTGGAGTCAGGTGGAGCAGAGAAATGACTGTGAGATTGCGGGGATTGATGGTGAAACCTCGGATAATGTCCAGCAAAATTTGGCAATCCTAGTGCTAGATTATGACAATTTATTAATTTCTGCTAAATGTAAAGTGGGATTCTCTAGTCTTCACAGTGATGTGGATCAGACCCTAGGATAACCTGTTCCTAATTAGAATGCGATTGTAATACTAGTGTGTTGTGTTTTTGAGTTATTCATTCAGGGGATGTGGACTTTGGCGAGACCAGTGTTTCTTGCCCATTCCAGTTGCCCCTGAGAAGGTTGTGGTACGATGTCTCCTTGAATTGCTGTAGTCAATTTGGGTGTTAGTATACCCAGAATATTCTTGGGGAGGGAGTCCCAGGATTTTACCCAGCCACAATGAGGGAATAGCATATATTTCCAAGTGTGAATGGTCAATGGCTTGAAGAGAAACTTGCAGATGGTGTTCCCATTGTTAAGCTGCATTTGTCCTTCTAGATATAGTGGCTGTAAGTTTGGAAGGTGCTGTCTAAGGATCCTTGGTGAATTTCTGCAGTACATCTTGTAGATGGTACACGATGCTGCTACTGCACTTCAGTGCTGGAGGAAGTGAATATGGTGTCAAAAAGTGTGCTGCTTTGTCCTTTATGATGTCCAGTTTCTTCAGTGTTGGAGCGCACCCATCCAGGGAAATGGGGGAGTATTCCATCATGCTTATGCCTTGTAGATGGTGGATAGGCTCCAGAGAGTTAGGAGGTGAGTTACTGCAGAATGCCTAGCTTTTGATGTCATCTTGTAGCCACAGTATTTTGGTGACTCGTCCTGCTTCTGTTCAATGGTGATCCCCAATATATTGACAGTGGGGGACTGCAAATTAATGCTATTGAATATAAAGGGGCAAATGTTAGATTTTCTCTTGTTGTTAATAGTCATTGTTTGGCACAAATATTTTTGCCATTGATCATAGAGTCATTGAGATGTGCAGCATGGAAACGGACCAGATATCCTAAATTAACCTAGTTCCATTTGCCAGCATTTGGCCCATATCCCTCTAAGCCTTTCCTATTCATATATACCCCTCCAGATGCCTTTTAAATGTTGTAATTATACCAGCCTCTACCACTTCTAACCTTAAACCTATGCCCTCTAGTTTTGGACTCCCTCACCAAAGCGAAAAAACCTTACCTCTTTCACCCTATCCATGCCCCTAATGATTTTATAAACTTTATAAGGTCAGCCCTCAGGCTCCGCTCCAGGGAAGATAGCCTCAGCCTATTCAGCCTGTCCCTATAGCTCAAACCCTCCAACCCTGGCAACATCCTTGTAAATCTGTTCTGACCCTCTTAAGTTTCATAGCATCCTTCCTGTAGCAGGGGAACCAGAACTGCACACAGTATTCCAAAAGTGGCCTAACTAATGTCCTATACAGCTGCAACATGACCTCCCAACTTCTATACTCAACACACTGACCAATAAAGGCAAGCATACCAAATGCAACCCTTCACTATGCTATCTGCCTGTAATTCCACTTTCAAGGAACTATTAACCTGCACTCCAAGGTCTCTTTGTTCAGCAATACTTCCCCAGGACCTTACCATTAAGTGTATAAGTCTTGCCCTGATTTGCCTTTCCAAAATGCAGCACCTCACATTTATCTAAATTAAAACTCCATCTGCCACTCCTTGGCTCCCAGGTCTATTTGATTAAGATCCTGTTTATCAGCCCAAGCTTGGATATTGTTCTGTTGTTTGTCACTAAAACCAGGTAAGTGCTGCTCTTTCTTGCAATTTCTACTTTGTTAGATAAGACGTAACATTCAGTCTATGGACTCTTCTCTGTCATTCAGTAAGATCATGGCTGATCCTCAAAACTTTACTGCCTTTGTCTTAACTCTTGATTCCCTTCCTGATTAAAAATCTGTCAATCTCAGCCTTGAATATACTTAACAACCCAGCCTTGATAGCCCTCCATCAAGTCCTTGTTTAAGAATCTTGCATGTTTCAATGAGGTCACGCCTCATTCTTCTAAATTCCAATGAGTACAGGCCTAACCTACTCGACCTGTCCTTGTATGAGAGTCCCTCTATCTGGATCAGCCTAGTGAAACTTCTGTGGACTGCCTCCAAAGCTGGTAAACCTTAGACAAGGAGCCAAAACTGTTGACAGTATTCCAGCTGTGGTCTAACTAGTGGCTTGTATAGTCTTGGCAAAACCTCCATAATTTTATATTACACACTCTTTTAAATAAAGGCCAACATTCCATTTGCTTTCCATAGTACCTGCTGAACTTGGATGCTAGTTTATGGTGATTAATAGACGAGGCCTCCCAAATGCTTCTGTTCAGTAGCTTTCTCCATTTAAGTAATATATAGCTCCTCTATTCTTCTTGCCACAGTGGATAGTCTCTCATTTCCCTACATCATATTCCATGTTCCAAGTTTTGCCTATTCGCTTAACCTGTTTATGTTGCTGTGCAGATTTTGTCATTCTTACCTTCCCACCTATTTTTGTGTCATCCGCGAGCTTGGCTATAGTACGTTCACTTGCCTCATTGAGGTCCATTATATTGTAAATAATTGTCGTTTGAGCACCGATCCCTGTGATACTGTGCGAGTTGCAGGTTGTCATCCTGAAAGCACCCCTTATTCCAGCTCTGTCTTTTATTAGTTAGCCAATCCTCTATCCATGCTAATATACTATCATCAAATACCTTCTGAAAATCCCGTTTATCCTGCTTGTTAATTCCTCAAAAAATACTGAAATTTGCCAGGCATGATTTACCTTTCATACCATTGATTCCGCATTCTCATTTGAGGAATGAAGTTGAGAGTATTAGAAGTGCCAAAAAATGACTTTTGTATTACAATGCACCTCCATGCATCTATTTCTTTTTTTAATATTATAATGTTCCCACAATGCTTAGGACTGGAAAGCACTATGCAACAAGATTAATTTGTATAAATATATTGACTGCAAAGAACAGCATGAAAATGTAAGTTAAACTTTCTTTGTTCTCCCTTGTGATTTGTACATAACTGATTAGCTTTTGTTTAATTACTCTACTTCATTCCCACTGAATTTACTCACCAGCAGTTGTTTTGCAACAAAATACAGATTTGTAACAATCTCATGAGCAGGAAACTTATCTCTTTGATTAGAATGCAAATAAGCAGGTCCAGGTGCATTGAAAGAATTAGCAAGTAAGACTGAAATTTTGTATCAAATCACAATTAATCCTCACCTAAATGTTGCAGTTCACGTTTGTATACTGATTTATTGCAAGTAATTGTTTATTGGACAGAAACAGCACATATGTTAAACATAAAAACAGGACAAATGCATTAAACGTATTCCTAAAATGATCTTGGGTTCCACTTGTCCACCTTCAACTTGTATACAAATATCAGTAATTAATTACCCACTCTTATGCCCCTGTTTCTGGGCTGGAAGATCTGTGTTCAAATGCCACCTGTTCCAGATGTGACTCAGCATATCTGAACAGGTTGATTACAAATATCTATTCTTGTGGTTTTTAATGGTGCAGTGGTAGTGTCTCCACCTTTAGGCCAGAAGGCCCAGGTTCAAGATCCACCTCTCCAGACGTCCTCAACGTGTATGAACAGGTTAATTTAAAATATCTGCAGTACACTGGAGGAGAAAAAGGGGTGTATGATTCTTGGAAAGCATTAAGTAGATTCCTGTCCTATGTGATACAGAGAATACTATGCAAGTACAATTATGGAAGTTATTTCAAAAATGAACTACCCCAAATAAACAGCACAACTTCTTGATAATCCATTTTGGTTCTAACTTGTCTCTTTGTCATACCTAGCATGAAAGGAAGATGCTTGTGATGTTGGAATCCATT